CTTTAAAAAAAAAAAAAAAAAGCCCCCACTCACTGGCTGCTGCTAGGTGGGGGGGCAATCCTCACTGCCCCACGCTGCGTGGGGGTCTTTGCCATGAGCCCCCAGAAGTCCTGATGGCCGCTGCAGCAGCCAGTGAGTTCAGGGTTTGTTTTTCTTTTAAAGAACCAGGAGCTGGGGCTAAGTGGGGCAGCTATTGACGGGGCTGGGAGAGTGTGCGGGGGGTTGGGGGCTCATAGCAGAGCCCCCATGCAGCATGGGGCAGTGGGGGGCAGCAGGATTCACTCCCTTGCCTGGCAGCAGCTGGTGAGTGTGGGGCTTTTTTAAATTCGGATAGCTGGGAGTTGGGGCTGGGCGGGGCAGCCATGGGGGGTGTGGGCTGGGAGAGCGGGCAGGGGTCAGGGAGCACTCAGGGGGGCTAGGGGAGCAGGCACGGGATGGGGCCTGGCAGGGGTCCCTTCATGGTTCTCTCCCCCCTCCTTCAGCACTCCCTCCACTGCTTCTTACTTACCAGTGCAGAGTCCGGATCCAGTTCCCTGCAGCTACAAGTGGGGACTGCCCAAATCACCAAAGCTCTCCAACTCTTTTCTGAATCGATTTGGAGAGCTTTGAATCAATTCAAACCTTTTCATTGGTCTCCTGATTCAATTTGGATTCAGAGATTCAGCCACCGAATCGGGCTGAATCTCCTCTTAATCAAATCAGCACCCAAAGCTTTACACAGCCCTATTATATTCCTGTGTGCAGAATGAATGAGTTGGAGGATTGGTCATAGGTAGGGGTCTACCCAACTTAGAGGCAGCTATCCAATTTCAGAACTAGATAGCTGGACCAGCTGCCATTTTCAAGGATTTATAGCCAGGGCCCCCCCACATCTCTGATTGCCTGAGAGGCCCCCAGTGGCCCCACCCCTCACAGCTGATTGTTTGAGAGTTCTGTCCATCATGTGGCCCTGCCCCTTGCTGCAAAACCGGAAGTGTTGGCAGCTTCTCTGCATCGCTGCTGCGTACCCCCTGGGGTCTTCCAAGGTGCCGCTGGGGGTATGCATACCCCTAGTTGACAACCCCTGAATTAAGCAATTAGCTGCTCCTTCACAGATGCTCCCTCCCTCCCTGTGCAAGACTTCACGTGGGCTCTGCAGTCTGACTGGGGTTGCAATACTTATATCCTTCCTCCATGGAGACCCATGCAGTCAAGGTGCACTGAGACAGGCAGATGGGATGGGGCAGCAGTCAGGTGGGGAGCAGCATCCAGGAGTGGGATGGGTGGTCATGGCCAGGATCAGGGCTGGGATCAGAATTGTGGGGCAGTGACAGCACAGGGCCAGGACCCAGGCCTGGCGCAGAGTCACAATACACTGCCTGCACATCTCTGTGACAGGCAGTGGATCTACAGGTAGGAGCGTGTGGAGATTGATTGGATCGCAGCTCTGCCCTGGGCTCTGGCCCTGCACTGTCACTGCCTCCCAGCCCTGGCCCTGCCTATCCATCGTGTTCCCAGGCACCGTTCTCTCCTGCCTGCAGCCCCATCCCATCTGCCTGGCCGAGCGTGCCCTGCCTGCATGGGTCTTGCAGGGCCTCTGGCAGCATTCTGTAGACCACGGGATCACCAGGTTTTGATAGCATGGGGCCAGGCCCTGGGCAGAGCCACTCAGGGAGGTCTGGTGAGCTGTTGAGGGGGTGCTGTCTCAGCCTGCAATAGCTCAGCAAAACTCCCTAAGTGGCCATCTGGCCCAAATAATTGCCCACTCCTGGAGTGACAGTTGGATCAGTAACAATAGTAAGTAATGCTTTTGTATGTTTTAAAAAGCTGCATTGGTTTAACTGAATCACTTTAAAATATGTCTAGTTAAATCAGTGCAGACCCATTATGTAGATGTAGGTAAACCTGTTTAATTGGCTCATAGATTTCACAGACATTAGGGCTGGAAGGGACCTCGCAAGATCATTGGGTCCAGCCCCCTGCACAAGGGGCAGGAAGTCAGCTAGGGTCAAAGGATCCCAGCAAGATAAGCATCCAACTGTTTCTTGAAAGTGTCCAGAGTAGTTGGTTGTACTACATCTAGGGGGAGTCTATTCTAGGCCCTGGGGACTCTGACAGTAAAGAAATTTTTCCTTATGTCCAGCCTAAAACAGTCTTCCAGGAGTTTGTTCTCTTCATTGGACCTTGTCTTCTCATGGGGTGCCCTTGTGAACAGTTGTTCTCCCAGTTCCTGGCTCATTTGCAGTTGTAAAGCTAATGCTAATTAACATGTCTACATTCAAATTTGCACAGATCTAATTAGCTATTTTTAAAGATATTTAGGCTTTTAGCCAGACGCAACTTTTTTATTATTAGACAAAGTCTAGAAATTGGAGTATTTAGGATAACGTGTTCCCATTTCAATTCAGCTAATCAAATCTCCAATTCAGAATAGGCCGGGCATTAAAAATTTTGAACTCATTTTTTTAATTAAGACCTCAGGAGATTGTTTTCATGGAATTTATTCTTTCATTTTAATAAAAATGCTTTCCATTTGGAAGCCTATTGTACCCACAGATTTTGTACTGGCAGAAATGTTTGGCTTATCATTTCATTTGTTTCCTGAAATAGTTATACCAGTACAGCCTGTTATGCAGATGCACTTGCCAATATTAAAATGCCTCGGGTTTCCTTGTACTACAGAGGATTGACGCCTACAGAGCTGTGCTGGTAGACCTGTGCCAGAAATCTTCCTAGTGGAGACACCATCTACACTTGTTTGAACAAAATAAGGACAATTATTATGCCTAGATTGGGCCTTATATAAGGATCATTCTTTCCTCCAAGGCTCAATGTGCTCCAGAAAGCCTTGCCAGCGTGGCTCTGGTTAAGAGAAAAAAGATCATGTGGCTCTTTGGCAAAGCCCCTAGCATAGGTTCACTTAGGCTAGCAAAAAAGTCTTTAAGTGGTGTTAGCATGTGTCACTGCAGGAGTGGAATTGAAAGTCTACTGTCAGAAAGTTATTTGACCAGCATAAGGTGCCTCTGCTAGAAGGAATGTAGGTTGCAGGTACACAGGCCCTTCTAAAGTATCCAAGCCTTAAATGTAGGTTAACAAGCTATGCTGTTGTAAGTGCCTTTAGGCCATTACCCCAGAGACCATTACCCATATGGTATAAACACATGGGAGGAAACCCTTCCAACTAACGTTAGTTGGATCAAACCAGAAACCCTTACAGATGTGGAAATGTGAGCAAGTTACCATGAGATGAAGGAGGGTGGGCCTTTACTACACATCAGCTGCTCTGTGATAACTGTCCAGATGCATGCTCTTACACTGCTGTAAGTGAAGGAATAATGTAAAAGAGCTATGCTGCCACAGCATAGTTTCCACTTACTATGGGGCAAGGATATACCCATAGGCAGGTACCGTGGAGGGGCTAACATATGATGCCCCCTCACTCCTTTACCCCGTGGTAACTTTTGTGTCTGTGTCCTCGAATAGATGTGAACTACCACAGTCATGAATTGTTGCACTAACAAGTTATTGTTTCAGTCGGGCTCGGGTTCTACATAATAACTGGGGATGAATGCCCTGCCACATTTAACTCAACAGGGATGAATAGCGTTGATGCCTCATGTTGACTTTCTATAAATCTCAGTATTAACTGTTTCACAGTTGATTGCATCAGTCTGTATATGTAGGGGATGAAAACCATTTTGAGGTGGAATAAAAAAAATCATAGGAAAATTTTGATTAAAAGGGTGAAATAAAAGTTAATTGTATATAAGGCTACTAAATGTAATAACTCATCAGCTCATTAGCGTGGAATGAAACTGCTTTCTTTGCAAAAAATATGCTTCAGATTTTTTTTTTTTATTCTCTTAAGCTCTGTTAAGAAAAATTGTGAGAGAATTTTCAGTGGCCTGGGTAATGACACTTCAAATAACTATTTGTGTCCTGTGTGAATGGGATCAGTGCCTTTGGGCTACCTCATAGTGAATAGCTAATGATTACATTTTGTACTTCTCCACCCCGCCCCCCAGAAGACTGCAGTAAGAGGCCAGGGTGTGAATAGGCTTTTTTGTGTGCAGTAACTTTCTACAGCCATTTCTGAGTTTCATTACCCCTGCTCTCCCTCTGGGACAGGGCAGGCACGACACATGCCAAGTTTCAGATAACATTGTCTCTTTACATTCACTGTTCCTTTTAGCTGCAGAAGAGGTCTGGTTGTCTGCACACCAGATACTTTTCTTTGGGAGAGGGAGAAATTCTATTTTTACTTCTTATGTACTTTTGTGCAGGGAGGTTTTGGCAGCCACGTTGCCAGCAGATCTCTTCTCAGAATTATTGATGATGATCGGGCTTTTCAAGAGAACAAGAGAAAAGAGTTACATTTCTGCAAACTGTAGCAAGGGGTTAATAACTCTCAAATTTTGTGCCTTATATTGGCAGATACTGCAAAGAGTCTGCAGAACTTGCAGTGTTAAGCTTTGAGTTTTATGGAGGCTGTAAAGATCTTTCAAACTGAAGCTGGTCCCATCTGTCCTAAAGAAGGAGTACTTAGAAACCAAGCTTCACTCAAATAGTGGCTGGATCAAGTAAAAGATCCTTTAGTTCTTCAATACAGATTTGCAGGAAAACCAGGCACTAACCACATTACCAAACCATACTGCAAGCAAGGGTCTTAGCAAGGTCAAGGTGCACTTTGAGAACTTGTTTAGAAGTTTCTTTCTTTTTATACAGCAGCCTCTAAGCCTGTATAAACAAAGGTCACAGACAGCTTGGAATGCAGTTGGCTCTTTCAGACTGGCAGTCACTTGGGGTTGCCCAGCTCAGTTCCTTCCATACAGAGATTTCTACCTCGAGTCATGGCCTGTCCAAGGAGCTCAGTGGGAGTCCATGGCTGCTAATTGTATTGAGCTAGGAATATAGCGTGGATCTAGGCACTCTGTTCTGCTACCCCAGGGTGTCAAACATATAGCCTGCGGGCTAGATATGACCCACACAGTGCCTCCTTCTGGCCTGTTGGGCAAGCCAAGGAATTTCGGAGCATGGCTAGCAAGGGGCAGAGCATGCAACAGAAACCACGGCCCCATTAGACATGGTACCAACACAGCCCTTCTCACCTTGCAGGTGCTTGCTCTGCTGTCACCACCAGCTGCCCGGCCTTGGCCACAGCAAGCAGCTACTTGGCTGCAGTTGTTTGCCTGACAACCTCCACTGCTGACTCCACTGCAATTGCTGCCCCTGCTACCACTTCCACTGTGGATCTGGTCCACAGGGAGCCCTGTAGTCCTGCTCTGGCCTGGGGCACCAGGTGAGTTTGACACCCCTGTGCAAACCCAGCCACTGTGCAACTCAGGCAGTGTTTTGCGGTGCAGTGTGTCAGGAATTGGGATGCTCTGATTCAAGCTGTTTGAGCATCATTGATAATTTGTGGAAAATGGAATAAAGGGCTAGGCTGTACTAATGAAATTTAACTCAGATGTACTGACTGGTGCTCAGCGTACACAGTAAGCACAGAATGTTTCTGTCGGTCAAAATCGTCCTTGCTCTTACAAGTAGAGCCAGGTGAAAATATTTGTTGAGAAGCAGCAGGTTCACACACAAATAAAAGAGTTTTGGGGTAACTTCAACTCCTCACTAATTCACATCAAATCAGCACATAGTTTTTGCCAAAAAAATAATGGGGCCAGTTGTTGAAACTTTGAAAAGTGTGAAGGTTACTTTCAGAAATGCCAATATGCTTCATTTCAAAATTTTCAAAACAGGTTTTGGGGGGTGGTTCATTTTTTTTGCTCCATTGACTACATTTAAAAGTCTCCTTTAGTGTTAAGCAAAAAAGGTTAATCAAAACAGTTAAAATAATCCAAAATTGAAAAAGCCAGTTAATTTTCCAGTCATATAAATTGTTTCGGGTGGACAGGGTGATTTTGTTTTTTGACAAAAAAAAAAAGAAAGAAATACAAAGCTAAAGACAAGGATTTTTGTGGGTGATATGTTTGTAATGGATCAGTTGCATGTTTGGAAGAGATTTAGATACAAAACACCCTTCCTCAGGTCTGAGAAAAGGTTTAATTTTGACCTGAACCATTTTTTTTTCAATTTTTCAAATTGGACATTAGATAGAATAATTAATCATCATTCACTATTCATCCCATTCTAGATAATTGTAACAACAGAAAGTAAGCACAGCTCTAAGAGAGCTATGAGTTTTAAAAAGGAATATTCTCCCATGTGTGGGGGGACTAGTGTCCTGAAAACAATCGTTCTCTGTAGCTTACAAACACATGCTGATCAACTAGCTACAGTTATCATTTCAGAAAGGATAATCCCAGGGTATGTTGTGATGGCAGGAATGCGTCAAGAGGCCCTTCAAGCTTTTAATCAGTTTTAAACTATTTTAAATGTTTGCATTCTGCAGTAGAAAGCCAGTTAGTACCTAAAATACCCTCCTCTAGCCCAGAATCAGCATAAGGCTGTTATCACTACTGAATTTTAATATGAAATGTTATTTGATATACCTCCAGCTGCAGGCTCATCAAATTAACAAAGTTTGATGTGGTTGAGCAGGAAACATGGCAGATAATACTGGACTCATCTAAACATGCTTTTTAATATGCATTAGCCTACTTTAATGCACATTAAAGTGTCACAAAAACCCCATATGTTTTTGCTAAAGCACATTAAAATAAGCTAATGTGCCTTTTCCTGGTACCTCACAATGGAGGTACTAAATTTAATGCACATTAGCAAAAGTGCATTAATTAATGTGTAGATGTACCCAGTGACTTCATTATCCAAGAAATTAACAAAGATCCCTGGGCAGAGGCAGTGAGAGCTCTGTGCACTGCAACTTTTTACTTCTGAGATCTAATTGCCACTGCAGGTTTTTTTTGTTTGTTTGTTTTTTACCAGCAATGGCATTTGTGTTGAAACATACTGGGGACCTTCCACTGTCTTTGGTATTAGACAAAGTCACTGCAACATGATTCCAGTAGCAGTACACACTTGTTCTGAGCCAAAAGGCCGAAAAGCGATACAGTTGGTGCAAGACCCGTCCATTGACTATGAAGTCGTGACTGAACCATGTTTTTAGTTTGTGCTGTCCATTGTGCAGACTGACTATTATATCCTAGAGTGTGGGAATGTTTAAGAAAGATGCAAGCTACGTTCTTGCCATGGGTGAGTGGTATACTTAGTACCACTTCTCTATAAACTTGTGAGAGATTATTTTGCCTAGACTGCCTGCATTCAGCTGTATTTGGTCTCCCCTCTTATCCATAAAGACGGTCTTGGTTTCATTGTTTTTGTGAAAACTTCCAGCATGAGTAATGGCTGTACAATTTGCTTTGCAGGTTTTAAATCTTCTGACAGAGAAAGAAGTAAATCTTGTTTTGCCAACACAGGCCATTGTTCCAAGGACCTTTGTGCTTAAGCCTGGAATGGTTTTGTTTTTAGGTGCTTTGGGGCGCATAGATTACCTACAGGTAAGGAAAAAATGGGTTCTTTATGTTCTGTTAATAAGGTCCTGTGTATACTTTGTTAATATATATAAAATAGCCTCATCAATAGGCTATTTTTATAAGGCCTTCTGTGTTTCTTTGGTAATTTCTGCTCTTGGCTTTAAAAAAAAAAAAATTAAATTTCTCTCAGGATCCATTGTCCTGTTTTAAGTACCTTTGAAGGATATGAGATGATATATGCTAACACTTCCTCCAGAGGGCTTCATTAACACTGTGTGTATCTGTAAGTTAATTGCCAGGCATTCAAGTTAACAGTAAGTTATTCTAGGGAAGGGGTGGGCAATTTTTTCTGCTGGCAGGCTGCTTAAGTTTTGGTGAGCTGTCAAGGGTCACGCACACACAGTCTTTCAGAAGGTATCATTTTGAAAATTTTAGGTAAAAAAATAAATCACATACTTAAAAAATCAAACCTACAATAACATTTTAATTTTTTTTTTAATTCTGTCCTGATTTATGTGTTTTTGAGTAGCATATAAGCGATTGCATAATAGCTCAAAATAAAGTCTTACTCCTGTATATTGTGTGGAGGGGTAAGGTATGTATGGGGGGGCCTGCCCATGCACTAGGTCCCAGGAGCCAGCCGGGGATGGTGGGAAAGAGGTGGAGGGGAGGGGGAAGCGTGGGGTTGCGTGTAATAGAACTTGCTTAGACAGTGCAATTTGCTTCTTCTCCACACCCCCCTGCAACCCTGTCCCGTGCAGCCCATGGCTGCCCATGTGGTGTTCCACACGGAGCCAAGCCCCACCTGCTCTTGTCTGGGGCAGCCCGTGCTGTCCTCCTGCCGATGGACCCAGCACTGACCAGTGTGCACAGCTTCCCAGCGGGGCTGCTCCTGGTGCAGCTGCAGCCACCTGGGTACTGCTCAGCTCCTCTACATCCAGCAGCTCCTCCCCTTCCTCCTGCTCTTGCTGTGCCACTCGGGGTGGGAGGGAAGCTGCATCTGGGCAGCTCCTGCCCCAGCGCATGTGGTTTCAGCTCCCGGCTGTGTTCCATCCACTCTGGAACTGGAGCCCCGTGCTCTAGGGTGGGAGCTGTGCAGTTGCAGCTTCCCTCCATGCCTGGCTGGGCATGTGGTGGATGGCATGCGTCCCCATGGCTGCCACCGCCATTTCCCCACATTACCTGCTGCCCAGACCAGAGCAGCAGGAGGAAGGGGAGGCGGAGGAGCAGCTGGAGGCAGGGGCAGCTGAGTACCCAGGCAGCTGCAGCTGCACCAGGAGCAGCCCTGTGGGGAAGCTGTGTGTACTGGCTGGGGCCAGAGCTGTCGGCGGGCACAGTGCAGGCTGCCCCAGGTAGAAGCAGGCAGGGTTCAGCCCCATGTGGAGTGCCACCGGGGCAGCTGCAGGTCAGATACAATCAACTGGCAAGCCAAATCTGGCCCACAGGCCATATTTTGCCTGCCCCTGTTCTAGGGGTAGCCTGTCAGATTGCATGCTTTTGCTTGCCACCTATTGGCAGAGGAGCAGTCATGTAGCTTGGAAGGGCTATGTGTGTAGGTGGCTGTCACTCCTTTTCTGATCCAAGTCAAAATCCTGGACAATCAGAATCACCTCAAATGAGACATCTATTTGCAGTCCATAAGATTACTAGCTCACTAGTGAAACATTTTAAAGAAAAGTGCCTTGGAGGAAAAAATGCACAGTAACCCAGAGCTAGGAATGTTGTAGCCCAATATAGTACCTTTAATCAGTTTCATTCAGAGTAATCTCGAGTAAAACATCTTATGCAGAAGTGTGATTATTATAGGTGGCTTCACTTAGTTCTTCCTGGAGTATGGTTTTGCAGTGGCATTAAATATTTATGCTAATTTGCATCCTTTTGCAAAAAAAGGACCTAAGTATCATAGAAATAGTAAACAGAAATAAATTTGGTTTAGAATTTCCTCAGATAAAGAAATAACTACTGGTTGGTGGCAACACAGGATGGGGGTGGTGGTGCATGTTGCAGGAATACATTCTCCCCAAGTGTCTTAATGGACTTTTTTATTTATTCAGCTTTGTAAAAAAAAAATTGTCAGTGTTCTTATGGCATTGCACACCTAGTCCAGAAATTAAACATAACCATAAAAAGGATTTCCCATAATAAATACTATATTTACGTGCATTTTACCTGCACCTTTTGCCAAAAATTAGCCACCCAAAATTCGCTTGTGTGGTTTAAGTGAGGGAGCTGATTTCTGTGCTGGAATGGAGGCCTGAGGACTTGCTAATGGCTGCTGCAGGCTGTGCTTCCTGCCCTTTTCTTCCCAGCTACATGGAGGAGGGGCAGTCTGCTGCTCTATTCTCACTCTTCTTGCAAACATTGCAGATCAAGCTTTAACCCCATCACAGTCACTTCTGGTTTTGGAGTAATTGGGATCACACCTACACAGTTAAACCAAGTGTGAACTAGGGGGCCAGGAAGGAATTTTTCCCTGGGTCAGTGTGGCATGGACCAGTTTTTTTGCCACTGTCTGAGGCATGGAGTAGGATTCTTCTCCTAAGATCATCTGAATATACCTTCACCTAACTCACTTCCTGCCACTGCTGCAGTTGGCAAGGCTTGGTGATGCCCTTGACTCTCCTGCCCTTTGCTAGTGGCACACTGTAGGGTTTTTTTAGAGGGCGCTTTGTGGCTGTGGTGTGCAAGAAGTGTTGAAATAAACCTTTTCGTTGAACCTTTTGGACAAATGGTTGCCTGCAAATGTGGGGAACTGGTCTCTAGCCCAGAAGCCTCCGTTCAGCCCTGTGTACCTCCAGGTGTGGGAGATTTCTGTGGGATCTGGAGAGTGGTCTGAGAAAGAGGTATGGGTGAGGCAAGCCATTAAATAAGAGTGCTGACTGCAGGAGCTCCAGGCAGAGGGCTCTGTTTAGCACTGGAGGCTCAGCTCCACTCTTTGCAAGGAAGATGTGGTATGTTATAATAGTGTTACTGATGCATTTTAAAAGTGATGGCCCTGCCTGTGTACATAGAGAGAAAAACCCATGTTAGCATGGCAGGGTTTCAGCACAGTGAAGGGAAAAAGTGGGTGTGGGAGAAGGGGTAAATATCCTGGAACTATCTTTGCAGTATTCATTATAGTCAACAAGAGCCCCTCTATTACATTTTAGGGAGAACAATCTTCCTGGTTTTCTGTTATGGCTTCTCGCCTGCTGCCAGTTCATGTTACTTTCCTGGAGAAAGCAGATGCCTTCTATCAGAAGCATGCCGGTAACGATTTATTGAAGGTAAGAGGACATCTGTGTTGTGTCCAAGTATGCAGAGGGAGGTTTCCTCATGTGGTCTGTTCTGTAGTTTGACAGGCACCATTATGGGCTTCCTAGGCCTGGCACAACAGAGGTTTTGCCATGCCTTCAACCCACATGGTCTATACATAGTCTGTTCAGTGTTTCTTCCTATTTAACATTCTTCTGCTTCTGAGGGGGAATGAACTAGCACTTGCCTTATTTCTACTCCGACTTGGGGAGACAGGAGTGAAAACAAGAATCTTATGATTGGTCACAACATGGTATTTTTCCCCTTTTAAAATTAAAATAATTCAGAACCTGGGGCTACTTGTGTTTATAGTCCCAGGCATGGCACAAGGGGTTGGGATACCTGGGGAACTTGGAGTCAGTTCCCTGCTCTGCTGTCCCATGGGGGCCCACTGAAATACATTAGCCACGTAGTCTTGGAACTAGGGATAGAACGAATTCTACCGCTGTCATTTAGAAGCTTGCAAATTGGGGAGCAGTGCCCCCCAAACAGGAAAGACATGGCAAATAGGATTTGGTCTACACTTGCCAAGGCATTGCATCACAGCTGAGAGAGAGAAACCCTTTCTCTGAAGCTCTGGTGAAGCACCTTGTGAAACACTGCATCCTGTGCTATGGAAATACATCCCAGAAAGGACTGATGAACTCAGACAGAACATCAGAGGGCAGAAGGAAGAACTGGGCACTCACAGCTGTCTGTGAAGCACAATGGAAGAGGAATTTGCAGGGTGCAGGAGGGAGAGGGCTATAAATAGGAGCAATGGGATGGAATTGAGAGACAGGAAAAACTGGGGATAATGGCAGTTCCATTGTTCAAGCGTTCCAGAACTAAACTTGGGAGAGATCAGAAAAGACTGTATAATGCAATCCCATGCTGGTGGGGAGGAGGACTGGATGACTGCATTGTTGTTTGTAGTTTTCTCTAAGATTTTTAATTAATGCTGGGTTCCTTACTCATAACAAGTTTTAGTTGCATGTCTTTTAGAGAGAGAAAATTAACCTTTGATGAATTGCCTTTCGCTTCAGATGTGGAGTTTAAAAGTTGGATTCAGAGTTTGTTTTAATCAGATACAGTCTGGTGTGTGGTGTGAATAGGATTTTTTTTAAAAGAATAATATCCTCATGGGTTAGGCTTTCTCTGGAAAAGTATGAAGTTTGTCTGTGTTAGTCTTACCATGCTAATTGACACAATCTAGGCATCTAGCAAAGACAAGGCAGTGTCTGCTTTAGTACAGACTTCTGCTCCTCACTTGAGTTTACTAGTTTCTAGAGCATACTACATTATAAAAGGTCCGCTTTCTTCCTCTGTGTACATGCATTGCTGTTTTTTAACTAATTTTATCAGTGTGTTGCCACTAACATTATAACAAATGCTCCAGAGAGTGAGTATTCAAGATCCCTTAATTACAACCATTTCTGCTTTCCTGAAAAATAGTTTGTGAATTGGAAGCAGGACTGTTAACTCATGCCAAACTCCTGAATTATCAGCTGGTTTCTGTAGAGAACACTTAGTTTTTGTTGCTGGCCTCTGAGCTCTTCCAGTTGTCGGTGTGCTACTGGTATTGACATATCTGACACAACGCACAATGCTTTTGCCTTGCCTTTATGAAAATATATGTCATTGTGGAGAATGACCACTAAACATAAACTTTAGTACTCTTATAGAAATCAGTAACTTAAAGTATCTTTCTTGAGCTAGGCCAGAACTGAATCTTAACATCCAAATAAAACAGTTGCTGTTATTACTGTAATAATGATTTCTCAGGGTATGTAGGTCACATGTGACTTTGATATCCCAGTGATATGTTTATTACTTTAACATCCATTTCTGGAGAACACAACCTTTAACTGTACAAGTGCCATTTTAACAAAAATGTTACTTGGGAGCCCTTATTTGTGTAACTTGTCCATTATGTAAGGAGATTGGAATGGGAAGGACTAACCTGCTGTATTTTGCCTTGTTTCTGCTCAGAGGTCCTTAAGGAGCCTCTCTCTTTCCATTTTTAAACCCCTTCTCCTTTGTTTGAATATTAGGTTCCTATGGGAGGTGAAGAACGCATGAAAGAATTCCCACCACTTGTTCCTCAGGACATTATGCTGGAAGGAATTGGTGCTGATGAGGCAGTGGCTGACATAAAGCTTTCCTCTGCTGGTAACTTTGCATTTCCTCCATAACATATACTTATACAAAGTAGCCACCTTAGCCATGCATATTTGCCTAGAATGAAGACTTCTTTCGGGCGTAACTTGGCAAGGGGTGCATCATATGACTTTGAACCTAAGAAAGGTCTTTAGACCAACTGTGCCAGGTGGGGCATTTCTCAAAGTACCTGCTGCCTTGTAGTTATAAACGAGGCATTTGGGGACAAAGATGTTCCAAGAGCCTTGAATTCAGTAGCTCCTATTATCCTTGGTTAGCTTTAATAGAACTGCTGGGTGCTTACCTCTCATGGGGGAAAAAACCCCATCCTTTGACTTGTTTCAGCAAGTAGATATTTTTAGTGGGGGTTGAGGATGGGGTGCTTGGGGATTTTTAAGTTTTGCTTTTAGTCAGTTATCCCTTTGTTTCTCAGAGATGGTAACTCACTGCTGTTGGTCTCTGTGTCTGTCTAGGTTGGGTTGCAGTAACAGCTCAGTTGGAAGACAAAGTGCACCTGCGAGCTTATGTGCCAGAAGGGATGGGGCTGACCGTGCGCAGGCCGCCTCTTCTGCCCTATATAGTTCACATCAAAGGAAAACGCATCAAGGGAAGTGTGGCCTATAGAACAAAAAAAATACCACCCTTAGTGGAAAACTTCAAGAGAACTAAGCAGTAGAAGAAAAGGACATCTGATCTCTAAGCACAGAAGACAGGAAGCCCTTGGATGTTTTTGTTGCTCATTCATGTACAGGAGCATTCATGTTGCTTATTCATGTGCACTATGTATAGACTTTTCAAAAAAAAAAGTCGGTTTTCAGACTGGCTCTTGAGGAACCTTTTCAAGACCTTTCACATAAGCTTGTAGTTTGCATAGGACTGTGTATAGTCCTACTCATAGTATTGCATGTTTTGCCATCTAAACTTCCCATTGAGATGTCCTGCCTTATTCGGACTGATTACAGTTCTGTTTTCCACAGACAGGCCTGTGCCACTTGACCTCCTGCTTGTTTCCCTAACTTGGGTGGAGGAAACCTGGTGTCAGGATGGCAAGAATGACTATAGTGGCAGCAGCAGCAGGGTGTTTGTGTCACTCTTTCCATTCTGTAGACAGAAATTTGACTGGGAGATGTGTGGCATGTTAAGGCTTGCAGCAAGAAATGAGTGACTAAGATAGATGCCTCATACCTGGAACCAGTAACTATAACTGAAAGAAAGACGTTGAGCCTTCAGCCAAGTTTCACTGAAAACTCTTTGGTTTTAGTGGATCAGTGAACCTTCAGGTGCCCTTGTAAGATGTTGTATTGAAATGGCATCATTCATTCACTGTAGGGTCCTCCCAGCTGTCAGATTACGTCCCATGTAGTGCTGCATAGCCAGCCCAAGGAAGGAAAAGAATGTGGCTCCTGTTTAAGAGAAGAAAGAGCCTGTGGAAAGCTGTAGTCTGGGATCCTGGAGGACAGAAGGTTCCATGGCACTTGAGACGTTAACTGGATGAAGAGGGCATTGTTGGGAAGGTGATGTGGATGCCTTGTGGAAGGAGAGGAAGTGCCTGATTTAGACATAACCTGTACCAGATTAATCAGTAAATCAGTCATCAGCAGTTTACAAAAACTGTAGGTGCTGAGTCATTCAGGATGTACATGAGGCCTCCAGTCAAGAGAAAGGAACATCAGAAGTCACCAGTTAGTGTGTGACTAAAGTACAAGATGGTAGCCTGGCAGTCTAGTACCCAGTGCCTCTGTGGCTACTTCAGCCTTGTGCCCCATTAGCACCAGCCATAGGTAAAAATGCAGTGAAACCACTATGGTGTTAAATAAGAAACAATAATGAAAACATGGTTGCCCTCAAACATAAAGAGTAGATGCTAACCTTTGTGATTATGAATACTTTGATTCCTTTCCTATGCTTGATTTGTGAAAGTGTGTTCGCATAATAAAAATCTGGTTTCTAGGACTTTATTAGTTTCCTTTTGAAAATTCTGGTAAGAGATCTTATCCATCTGTCAATTAATACAATTACAGTATAAGATATCCCACCTGATAAATATATAAATAAGCCATCAGGTTGTCAGGGTTTGGAAAAATGCATATGGAAAACTTTAAATGTCAGGTGCCCTTGTAAGATGCTGGCATCCACAGGCATCTTTCTTCTCTTAAATAGGAGCCACATTCTTTTCCTTTCTTGGGCTGACTATGCAGCACTACAGGGGACGTAATCTGACAGCTGGGGAGGACCCTGCAGTGAATGAATGACGCCATTTCAATACAGCATCTTACAAGGGCACCTGAAGGTTCACTGATTCAGTAAAACCAAAGAGTCTTCAATGAAACTTGGTTGAAGGCTCAAACGCTTGTAGTATGGGAAACAAGCAGGAGGAACTTACCCTCCTGCTAGCTGACACCAACCCAGACATAGTGGGGCTCACAGAAACGTGATGGGACCCAAAGCACGACTCGGTGGTGACTATCAAGGGCTATAGGCTATACAGGAGGGATAGGACAGGGAGGAAAGGCTTGTGTGTGGCGCTCTACGTCAAGGGGGAATACACATCCTCAACAAGTAGCACGAGGTCAGAGGAGGGGCACACTGAAGTGCTCTGAGTTAGAATACAAGGAAGTTGAGGGGAAAGGGACTTAATGGTGGGGGTCTACTACAAACCTCCCAACCAAGGCGAAGAGCTAGACTGGGAATTCTTAAGTCAGTTCATGGAGGTAGTTAAGTCAAAGGACGTGGTCATCATGGGTGACCTGAACTTTCCAGGTATCTGCTGGGAAGAGCAGTCAGCTAGGTCCGACCGCTCACGTAGGTTCCTGGCCAAGATACAGGACCTCCATCTAACCCAGGAGGTGCACAGCCGCACCAAGGGAGACACCTTGTTGGACCTGGTCCCGGCCACAGGCGACAATCTGGTGAGGTGTCTGCAGGTGCTCGACCCTGTGGGCGACAGTGACCATCGCCTGCTGGAATTCACCATCCAGTGCAAGGTGGCAAAGGCCTGCAGCAAGGCAGCAGCCCTGGACTTCAGGAGGGTGGACTTCATGAGCTAAGGAGAATAGACCTCCACTGAGGTCCTGGAGGGGAGTGGAGTCAGGTGTCCAAGAAGAGTGGTCGTTCCTTAAGGAGACGATCCTCCAAGCCTAAAGGGAGGTAATCCCAACACAGCAGGGGGCAGGAGGGTGCAAAAGCCCCCAGGTTCAGGTCCCGTAGCCTCTCATAGGGCCTGCCCTGCTGTCCCTAGATCATGTGAGTGGCCCTCCTCTGGACCCTCTCGATGCTAGCCACATCCCTCCTAAAGTGCGGTGCCAAGAACTGGACACAGTACTCCAACTGTAGCCTGACCAGTGCTGCATAGAAGGGGAGGATCACCTCCTTGGACCTGCTCGAGATGCATCTGTGGATGCATGACAAAGTGCGGTTTGCCTTACTGATTGCATCCTCACATTGGCGGCCCATGTTCATTTTGGAATCGATAATAACTCCAAGATCTCTTTCTACCACTGTGCTTTTGAGAAGGGAGTTCTCCAGCCTATAGGTATGCTGCTGGTTCCTACTGCTCAAGTGCAGTACCCTACACCCTCAGAAGTATCTACATGGCTGTTATGGCTCAGTAAACTTACCTAATATGGAAAACAGAAAAATGGGGTGGCAAGATCCTTCTGCTAGAACTAGTTTAATAAATGAAAAACAGACACATTTTACAACATTTCTTAAAGGCTGCAAGTCTGGTAAAAATGTAATGCTCCAAAGGGCCCCTTCTTCATGTGCTGGACTCATCATGGTGAGGCTTGCCTGCAACTTAATGTTGGCACTTATCCCCACACTGCCCAGGACGTGTTTGCTGGTTTAAGTTGTTTCATATCAGATTTGAGACTTTTGTGTAGCTAGTTTATTTCCTTCCAAAATACAGCCTTACTTTACAACCACCAGCATGGAAACAACATATTCAAAGGAAAAGAAAAGGCTTTCCATTCAGTAAGAAGGTATTCTACAGATTTTGAGTAACTTTGGTTCCTGGTCACTGAGTCTTGGAAAGGAAGTTACTGGGAGTTAGAAGAAATGAAACCTGATGGGTGCGTCTACACCTTCATTAATGCGCAGTAGTTACTGCACATTTAGTTTAGTACTTGCTTAACGAAGCACTAACTGAATGAGCAGTAACTACAGTTACTGGGCAGTAGCGCTGGCACACTTTTTTGTGACGTTTACTGCACAGTAGCCTAGTAGCACTGTGCAGTAGCATAGTAGCATGGTTTTTGACCAGCACACTACTGAACAGTGTTATTAGGCTACTGTACAGTAAGCATCTTGTGTATACATGCCCAATGTTGCTTAGAGTAGGTGAATTTTTCAAAAGCCCTTAGGTGCTACTGACTTTCAATAAGATGTAGGCATTAAAGTGTCTAGACCTCACCCACTGGATGTTTTAGCTACTGTGGGCTGAAGTTACTCAGCTACCTTTCCAAAAGAGATGTTCCAAATCTTTGCCCGTTGTTGCCCTTTTTGGCCACATCCAGAAGACTGTGGCTGTGCAGTATGTGGCACTGCAAACATGTCTGTGGCACCACATACCGCACATTCAGATGTTCTCTATGATGAAAGGGAATGCTGCCCATGTGTGCGCTGCTCCACCTTTTTTTCCCCATGGGTTCTGTTGACCCTTGGATATCCAGGGGTCAAAAAAACCCACAGAAAAAAAGCAGAACAGTGCATACACAGGCAGCGTGTGCTGCTCAAAAGCAGAGCCAGGCTGCCCGGAGCGACACTGTAACTGCTAGCCAGGCTCTGCGTGGCAGAATCACCACTGCTACAGCCCCAGAAACCCCCAGAACCCCAGGAAAGGCTGCTGAGGGCAGCCCAGTGCTGGCCCCAGCCTCCCCTACCCCACCTGGGCTAACTTGCCACACACCAAAGCGCAAGTGGCACAGGCATTCCCCAGGGAGAAGTGGCTCCCCAGGGAGCCAAGCATCCATGCTCATGTGCACATGGCCTTTGAGATTCAAAAAATGATAAAAGATGCATGAGAACCCTCTTGCTGCCAGATTTTCCCAAATGTGCTCAGTACCCACAAGGAGAGACTTGGGCCAGCACAGCTACTTCAAAGGTCCCACAGTGGCTGAGGCTACAGACTGCACTGAACCAGTGACCCAGAGCTGAAAGGTTTTGTGTCTCCCATCGCCATTCCCCTAAGGTCACCAGCCCTCAGGCAGCAGAGGTTTTCCTTCCGTTGCAAGAGTGGCACTTCCTCCGGAGACTGCAAATGGATGAGCAGGAAGCAAAGGGGTGCTCTCAGGCTCTTCCTCTTTCCTCAAAATGGAGTTAGCAGCCAGACCCTGGGAAGCGGGCCCTGCAAAGGGGGGCCGAGAGCGAGAGTGCCTGCGTGCATGCATATGTTTGTCTGTGTTTCAACCGCCCTACAATCAGAGCCCATTGTTTCAGAGGGCAGCCTGGGAATGTTTGCTGTGGAGAATGTATCCAACTTGGCACTGGCGATCCAGAAGCCCAGGGAACTGGTTCCTGTCGCCTTCCTGAGTAGCAGAATCTGCCCCAGGCATGATAGCCACAGGCTTATTTTTTCAACACTGACTCCTAGGAAAATCCTGGCAAAAGCAAGACTTTTCTGTCTCACAAGATTAAAGCAAATCAGGCTTCCAGCTTGCATTCCCAGTATGCAAGCAGGCAGCACTGAAATCAGTGGGAACCGTGAGAAGGAGGCATGTTGCTGATTGACAAGGATTGGTGAATCGACCTGCTTTCTGACACGTCTAGTAGCTGTCTGAGTGATCCCAGTCCTGGCATTAATGCATCTTTCTCTCAGTGCCTCTGTGAGGAAAGGAAGAAGATGGGATGCGGAGGGAGGGAAGCGGCAGAGGGACAATTTTAAAGGCTTATAGACAGCAAGCTCTTCCGAAATCTGGGTCAGATCAATTGAGGAGAGAAAAAGACTAGAGACTAGATTTGGGGGAGAATCTTTCTCCCCCTCTAGATTTGTGGGGGGAAAAATACTAGGTTTTTTTCAATGGCATGGTAGCAGGGTTCAGTGAGACCTCCACTTAGACCTAGCACAGATGGAGTTTAACCCCTGCCACTCTGGCTGCAGTGGAGTCTAATGGTGGCAAGCTGGGGTGATGGGCACAAGCCTGATGGGTGACTGCAGTCCTGAAAATAGGAAATGACACCCTGTTAACTATATACTCATTTTCCTGGCTAAGGAAAGAACCAAAGGCAGCTCCCTGGAGTCTTATACCAGTATTGTGTAACATAGAAATGTCTGGGCAGGGACCTATATGCAGAACTCTTGGCAGAGGTGATATCTTTTATTAGACCAACTAAATAGTCACAAAAAACATTCTTTATTTGTAAGCTTTCAGGCTCACACACCCTTCCTCAGGCAAAGGAGAATGCACAGATTGTAACATTTCTTCCAGGTAGAAATGAAGATGCATATTGCACAGGAGAATAGAAAGTTGCTATAGATTTCCCTGGGGTGGAAAAGTTTATTTTATGCAAATTAGGTTCAAATAAAAATTCAAGCAGTCTGGGCTGGGAACTCGCACACTGAGAATTCAAGTATCCAGTGAATGGATGTTCATGTTTGTGTGTTTCAAGGCTGTTACTTATTGGTGAAGGCTTCACTTCTCTGCCTAAGCAGTTTTCTCTCTCACTTTTTGCACACAAGAAAACACAAAGCCTCTTCCATGAGAACTGAAAACAGAAACCTGGTCTCTCCAGGAGCAACTCCAACCCGTGGGCTGTGGAGAGGGATTTGCTCCAGTGAGCAGCCACACAGCATGGTTATCTCGGTGTCACAAATAAGGCAGAGGCTGCAAGAACGTAAAAGACACAAAGCACTGGGATTTGGGAGGCCTGAGTTCTGGGTGGACCCTAACACAGGTGCTTCCAGCAAAGGTCAAGGCACTTATCCAGAATCTTTGGAAAGATGATAGGTCCCAAAT